AGAGAAAAAAAATCTAGCAAGATTTTAAGGTTCTGTTATTCTATGCTACAATAAACATTTCTGGAATTCCTGCTGCACTTATTTCTTGACCTCATCTTGTTTGAAGAGATAACAGTTTCCCTTTAAAAAAAAAAAGAAAAAGAGGCATTTACTCTCTAAAATGGAAGGTATTGTTGCAAGAAATGTCCTTCTGGGTTCAGCTCCAAGTGGGGAAGAAGACACTGGAGACATGGAGGCTGCTTGGAAAGATGGTTTATTGTTGGACAGGGCCATATGGCTTGAGCCCTGAACAGAAAAGGTGATCACATGTTTCAATGTTGATGGAGACGAAGAGAAGGGCTGAGGAAGGGGCTTGCTAGGCTTTTATACCCTGTTCAGTCCCACCTCTCTGTTTCCTGTTCCTGTTTAAGAAATGTATTCTGACTGGTTGTCAGACTCCCATGGTGCCATGCAGGGGGCTACTCTCTAGGCTGTGATGAGTTCTCAGTTGCCTTGTGGTCAGTTGAGTAATATCCCTTCCCCCTACAGCTGCAGTGAGGAGAAGTCTTTATTATGTAAAGTGGGCTGGCCTGGCCATCTTAATGGCCCATTAGCTGGGGATGGGCAGAAAGCTATAGGCAACTATTCTGTCTTTTGAAACATGTTTCTTTTCACATCCAGAGAAATATTCTGCCTTTTCAATATTTCCTAGGATATTTCATTTTTCTGGGAGAGGGCTGGATGATAACTTCCCACAGTGCAAAATATGATTCTAGCCAGATTCAAACTACCAGAAGAGGTGGATGTAGGAGTAGCTACAAATTGCAAACCTGCAAGTTCAGAAGGAATATTATTCAGACTTTGGCTGATCTAAAAAAAAAACCTAAGTAAATTTATTAGTATTTGTATGGGTGACAGTGGGGAATTAACAGCTCTGTAGTAGACTTGAAAGTAAAAAAACAAATCCAGAAAAATTTAATGGTAAATTGGTTCTGTATTACGGTATTGGTAACATAACTGCACAGTATATACATGTAGTTACTAAGAATAGAGTTTGGCTCATGGAAGACTTCACATTTTGTCTTTATCATCCCATCCAGAAAACTTCAAACAGGTTTAACAAGTAACACTCTATATGTAAAAAAGTTAATTAAATCAAGGAAGGGAAATAATTATAAGTACACTAGAATGGGAAACGGAAGGAGGTGAGTTCAAGTCATGAAAGCCAGCTGGGTGACTTTGGGGTAACCACTCCCTCTCAGCTCAAGCCCTCTCACGGGATTGTTGTGGTGGAAAATAAGAGAGGAAAGGTGTGTTGAATATATTCACTCCTTTGAGTTGTTTGTAAAAATAATAAAGATGGGAGACAAATATAAATAAAGGTTTAAGTTTCTCTCAAGCTTTCGTAACATCTTCCACAGAGCTTTTAATTGTGAGGAACAAGATAGTTGTTAACTTTTGGGGTTGTGGGTTGCTTTCCTATGCTTGAAGACTTCATTTAGTTTTCTGTAAACCATGTAGATTCAGATTTTGTAAACAAATGAGGGAAAATATTTTTCTACTAAGCAGTTTCATGAGAGGAATGGTACAGGTTTTGGCAGTACAATAATGTGAACATGCTGAAGGATCAGAAAAATATATACAAGGAATAGGAATTGAAGTGCTGCCTCAATGGCTGAGTTCATACACCACACCACAGTAAGTCATTGCCCCTGTTTGTGTAATATGCTGCCCATTTTGCCTCATTATTTTTAACCATTAACGGTTCTTGTGTGTTTATTATCCAAATTCAATAATGGCGCTCCAGTATTGATCAATACGCTTAATTTTAGGGAAAGCAAGTAGCTACATGGGCCCAGACTAAGAAGGCAATTTGTGTGTCTCATTAATCAGGCAGGTTGGCTTAGTATATCAATTGCTTTTGAGGCAGTTTAGATTTTAATTTTGCCATAAAATAAGGGCTGTTTTATATTATTTTATATTATGCTGTAATTCTACTTTCATAGTAAGGTTTCCATTATGTTTACCCTTATACAGTATACTAAGGGCATTCACTTACAACAAATTTAACTGTATGCTAAATTATTTTAAGTTACCTACAGATGAATAGGGTAAAGTGACCCTAGCTGAGATTAACTTGCTTTGCATAATATGCAAAACCATGATATATTTTTTAAAAACCTGCATTCAGAGGGATTTACTTCCAGCCTTAGAACTCTTAGACTAACTTAAGGGACAATGGGGTTTTTACTTAGCTTTAGCTTAGCTTGGCATATGAACTCAGCTATATATTTAGGTAGTGTGTGTCATATCATACAGGAACCAGCAATATGTATTAACTTTTCATCTAGATTAATAAATCACAATAAAATATAAATGCTAAAAAGATCTATGTTCAAATACTAATGTCTGGACCATCTAACCATTGAAGCACAGCATTGTTTATATGATGCTGATAAACAGATACTGGACTAGTATATGCTTCCCTCGGCTTAATATATGTAAGCCCTCAGCTTACAACCAATCACGATGCAATCTACAGTTTGATATTGGACCCCACAGTCACACTGATGAGAGGATACTATGCCCCATTTATACTGTGAGTCCCAGCAGAAACTGTGTGAGGTACAAACCCTGTTCAGGATTGCCCATTGCTGGTGTAGTAGTTCAAAGCCTGGCATCTTTTTTGTGTGGTCATTTATGTGTCTTTCTATGTCTGGTGTTTGGTGACCCTTTTGGCTTTCTATTGGGAATTGATGTTATCATTATTGGGCAGATGTTGTGCAAGTGCCAATGGGGGCTTCCTATATTTCAGTCTTCTGGCTGATAAATGAGGAAAGTTGGTGTGCACAGGTAGGAGTTGTTCATCATTTTTCTCTATTCTCTCACTAGTGCATCATGCCTTTGTAAATCTGGTGGTACTATATGGCTCAGAACAGGAAGCCAGCAAGTCAGAGTGGTTTTGATACAACCACTTATCCTCATGGTGTTACTGAGTCTGTGAACTCAGCTAAACATGTTTTAATCATCATAACATGGTCATGTGTATAAAGTGAGTCTGTAGGTTGAGAGTCACCTGACATATACGGAATTGGTAAAAAACAAAATAATTAGGGCTACATCCTGCTTTAGGGCTTTCATGTTCGAACTGCTAGAATCTGGATGATCACTTTACGGCAGCAAAGAAAGTTTGCATATATCCAGTGGGCAGGCTTTGGTCCCATTGATCAAGCAGTATTATCTAGAACATGTTGGGAACCACTGATCTAGAGAGACCCCAGAGATGTATCTTCTGTATCATAGCATCTGCCTCTGGAATTAGGTCCCTCGAGATCTAGATGATTTCCCATATGGTGTTTAGGAAGTTGTCAAAGACCTGGTTACAGTATTCTCCCAGGCTTTGGGGCAGGGTGATGGTTGATCTCCTACCTGACAGGTTGGGTTGGCTTGTTTTACTATATATGTTTGATTTGGGGCTGCTTACAATCTGTCTTTTGTCGTTTTAAAAATGTTGGCCTGCCGGAATTGTTGGATGTGGGGTAGTCTACATATTGTATAAATATCAAAGAAAGTACATTTTTGTAGCCCATATATGGAAGATCTTACCTGCCAATGTTATATTTATTGTATCTGTAGGACACTGCATTCTAGTTAGACTTCTGATGGTTCCATTCTTTAAATTGTTAGAAGACTTTTAAAAAGCAAATATATATATATTTTATGTCTTGTATAGGTAAAACAGAAGACGGACATTTTTGCAGACATTTCTTACTGGATTGCAGAAAGGAATCATGACTGACGTCGCACAGAAGACAGAAGTACGTATGAGATTCAAAAGGAAAGTACTTATTATGCTGTTTCTCTGCATTCTCAAAATAATATAAAGAATCTTAAATTATGATTCACGAACAATACTGGGAGATATAGTCATGTTTATGCTGAGAGATTTATTAAAATTAAAATGTTTAACTAATAGGCTTTTTTTTTAAATGAATGCCTTAATAGACTAAAATTTGTCCATAAAATATTAATTAAATTAAAATTTAATTCAATTCTTAATCTGTATTATGTTAGTGTTAACATGCCTGAATGCTATGTTCAAAGACATTTTGTTGATTTAGAGAAAATATACAAGTAAAGATGCTGGAGTTGTGAAATATTTTGCAAAATATGAAACTGAAGGCTAGTTGCTAAATGTGGAAGTAAAGCATGTATAAGAATAAGTGGATAATAATAAATAGTTCATTGCTGAGTTGAAGATAGATAAGGGTACCTTGCCTGGGTTTAATGTATTTATAGACAAATGTTACAAGAAATGCTTGTCACAACTTTGCAAGTGTGTTGACGGGGGCCATGAATGTGTGTATATCACAGTATGAAATCAATTTTTTGTTGTTTGTTGTGAATTTGAATGATTTGCAGTGAATATTAGACTATATGATGCAACAAAGAGAACTGATCTAATAATCATCAAAGACCAAGTACATATGGATTTGATAAGGAAAATTGAGCAAATAATTGTACGTTATATATAAATGGTAAAAACTAGGGCAAGTTGATAAATTAATAGACCTTGTCCGAATGTTTGGAAAACAGACAAAAAGGTTTGGTAAAAGGTTGGTGGATAGTGTGAGATCTGTTTAAGGAATGAATGTTTGGTGAAAATTGGATGGGATCCTCTAAAAGAAGTGAAAAGTTTAAAACATCAAAAGCAATGTATGAAACAATGCAGGGAATGGTGGAAGCAAGCATGGTTTTTAGAACTCTATGGAGAAATGAAACAAACAATGTTGGTAAAACTCCTTCAGGCAAATTTATTTTTTTTGACATCTTTAATTTATTTTGCCCACTCTTTCTGCTTCTCTTTTATTTACATAATACTGCTTTCATAAAAATGAAAGTGCTAGATACAGCATGCATCTACGTATCTAACACACTGTGCAATGTATCTTCATTTGCTTCTGTCATCTTTTCCTGATCTTTGCCTTTTCTACATCTTCACTAAGATTCTGCTTTCTTCATCTAAACCTGTACAAAAGTCCTATGTGCCCAAACTTCGAAAAGGTGATATAAAGGATAAATTTGAAGCCATGCAGAAAACAAGGGAAGAAAAAAATCAGAGACGAACAAAAGAAGAAAAGCAAAGACGAAGAGAACAATATATTAGAGAGAAAGAATGGAACAGGCGAAAGCAGGAGGTCATTTCCTTTGCAATTATTATTTGTTTCTGTTGGTTTGAATTCAGTTATACTACAATGCTGGTATAGAAAATATATTTGAATCTTATATAAAAATGTACCAGAGTTTTTAAGACTGTCCGGATTAATATCTTTGATCCATTATTCAGATGAAAGAACTTCTTGCTTCTGATGATGATGAAGAAAACTCTTCTAAAGTAGAGAAAGCCTATGTTCCAAAACTTATAGGTAAGGGAAATTTTATAAAGGTCTTGATCTCCATCATCAATGCTTTAATATCATACTATACATTGTCTAAAACATTCCACTTCTGCACTATTACCAACGTTGAAGCAAAATGCCATTGCCGATCTGATGTCTTTACTAGTAATATATTAATATATGTATTAATATATCAATAATATACTATTTTGGATGGATAGATAAATGGATAGATAATATAATGGCAAGTTATCTTTGTGCTGTCCCCTTTTAGGATGAAAAGATAATGGTGATATTTTAATATTTCCTACATGAATCAGAAAATAGACCTAGAGGTATATTGGGAGCATTCATTTTTGTTTTGTTTGCTCATAGGAACTGTGAAAGGAAAGTTTGCAGAAATGGAAAAGCAGAGGCAAGAAGAAGAAAAGAAAAGGATGGAAGAGGAGAGACAACGAAGAATTGAACAAGATTCAATAGAAAAAAGAAAAATTCAGAGGGAACTGGCCAAAAAAGCTCATGAGGTATGATTATTGAGCTTGGTAAAATATGCTTCATATATAAAAATAGCCATGCAAATTTCAATAAGGATAGTAGTATTCAATTGTAGTTTCAAAGGGAAAGCCTTCATATTGTGTATGAAATGGTTTTAAAAAAAATATTAGTGTTCCACTGTATGTGTGTAAATATTTTTAACACTTAGTTATAACATGTGGTCTCTTTTTTATCTGTATTAAAAGAGTAACCTAATATTTTAAGTTGTTGGCAAATTACTTTTATTGATCTGATATTCTTGCAGTTTTTCTAGTTAGAATAGATGTGCTTTCTTTTTGCCAGTAAAATAGCTCATTTCCAGAAGGGACTTAACTTCTATGGAAATTCTTGCAGGAAGAAGAGAATGGAATTAAATTTTATCCAGTCTAGCTGAAACTCCTGGTGCTGTATGCATGACCTGTTCAATATTTTTCTTTTCCATAGAGCATAGACTCTTCTATAAATTCTTCTAGCAGGATAGCCCTATTGGTCAAACTTCACTCAGAAGTAGTGGTTTTTTCCCCCCTGAAGCCAAAAAGTAAAATAAATCAAGCTGAACTTGCGTCATTAGCCACCTGTAGTTTCAGTAGTTTACTTGCAGTATGAGGGTGGGAGAGTTGATTCTTTTCGCTTTTTCAGTGGCATCCATTTTTTTATAGTATAGAATTTTATAGAATTCATTTTATTAGAGTTATGCTATTGCATAATATGCTCTGCTTAATGTTAAACTGGTAAATGTTTTATTTTAAGATCTTTGTCCTGGGATCAGACTTCTAATGCTATTATCTTCTCAATAGAATGCCAAATATGATAGATAAGTAGAAACATAAATCTGGTAATTGATTGTTACCAACCGTATGTCTCTTAACATAAGATACATCACTTAATATTATTGGAGACAGAAAATGTCAATATTACTAAATATCTAAAATTGAAAGTTGGGGAAGCAAAATAAGATTTCCTTGTATTGAAAATTACCAGTGAGATACATAGGTTGGGTTTACATATTACTCTAAAGCATAATGTGGTTTGAATTTTGTATTAGTGAATTATGTTGATTATATTGATAATGGCTTATTCAATAAATCATTAAAAACATGAGAATGCAGACATTGAGGAAAATGAGGTAAGATGTTTCTAATTTTCTTTGAACAAAAAATAACCATGCTTTTTATTGGGATACAAATATTAAGAAGCCAGACATAATACTATTAATGAAACTTGTGTTCGAAGTATCTTTGCAAATTATTACTATTTTAAATTTTAAAAAGTACAAGATTCAATTTAAAGACTGTCCCGAGACTGAAGTTTTGTACTAACATTCTTTTTAAAAAAATATGGAATAAAATATATCAAAATGAATATGTTGTAAACTAATGTTTATATTGAGAATGATGATTGTGTCCGTGATATGTAATTACTAGACATTAAATAGCACTAGATATTTTAGTATCCTTTATCAGGATAAAAACTCATATTAGTTCAGTAAGTTATTTTTAGATTACCTTTATAATATCTGCACTGCATTTTTCTTCCAAACAATTTGTTTAGCTGTATAATTATATTATAATTAAATGTTACTAAGAAGTCACAGAAATACTCCGACTATATGTTAGCTTTAGTAAGTAATCCTTCATATCTCTGTTATTAGCACTAAGGTTTCATATGTACATAAAATGGGGAGGACAATGCATTAAATTTAAATCATTTGAAATGTTCATTTCATGATAGATAGTGTAACAAACTTTCTGCCCTTGAAATGTACTTGTTTTATAGTATATTTTGTATTCATTGCTGTAAACCAAAACTAAATTTAATAATTTTAATATTATTACTGTAGACATGAAGATGCTGTATACATAATGATGCTAATCAACAGTTCTATAATTCAGTAGTAGTTTTATGAGAATAGCACGTAGTTTTACATTAATTGATAAAATTAATGTGAACTTATGCTAAACTTATTAATAGAGAAGAGTAAATGAATATAAGTATTAGAAGGTAACCCCAAAATAATAATTCAGATTAAAACTAAGGAGGTCTAGAAAATTATGTTATAAATAAAACAGTTCCAAAAAATTAGACCATTTGTTTAAATGTTTTCTTCCTCCTTTGCCAAAATCAGAGAAGTATTCAAATTTGACAAAGTACATTTATCAGCAGTCCACAGTCACAAATCAATTAAAATCAGACAAAACATTGTAGAATGATCATTTTCTAAGCCACCATTCATGTCCCTCTAAAATATAACTCTTAATGTGTTAAGAGGTTCTAAATGTTGGTGATGTAGCCAAGATTGTCATCAAGGTTCATCTTTAATGCATATTACATAGTTGTTGCCATTGAAATCACAGGCTAGTTTCTTTAAAGAAAGAATGTTATATTCATTAGATTTAGATTTAACACAATTAAAAAAGATACTGAGGAGGTAGAATGAAGAATGGATGAAGAATTCAAGAGAACAAGACCAGCTTGTTTTACACGTGGCTCAGTTTAGATAATATGCAATATCCATATCTGTATTTGAGCTGACACCACAGCATTGAAATTATTTGCTGATGGAATTCAATAAAATGAAGAAAAGAAAGGTTTGGGGTATTGATTTCCAAAGGAAAAATTGTACCGAGAAAATACATTAATTGGGACATAAACTGTAATTGTATGAACAAAATATACCCCTAACCATGCTTTCCTAGTCTACAAGGGATTTTCAGATCATGGAACAGGGGGAAAAAAGGGGATGGTATTCTTTGCAATAAAAATAATCCAGTTAAATTTATTGTCAAGTTTCTGCAGTATGTGGTTTTCAGAGTTCAGCAACTATTATGGAAATTCATCATGGCCATCATTCCCAAACTCTGCAGTACATGAGCCATGGTGGTGCAGTGGTTAGAGTGCAGTACTGCAGGCTACTTCTGCTGACTGCCAGCTGACTGCAATTTGGCAGTTCAAATCCCACCAGGTTTAAGGTTGACTAAGCCTTCCATCCTTCCAAGGTGGTAAAATGAGGACCCAAATTGTTGGGAGCAATAAGCTGACTCCGTAAACTTCTTAGAGAGGGCTATAAAGCACTATAAAGTGGTATATAAGTCTAAGTGCTATTGCTACAGCATGGGGTG